ATTGATCCCTCTCACAATCTTCTATTTATAAGAATAAATTGATACACAAATACATGATAAATAGGGTAACCCTAGACACAATATAATCATGATAAATAGGGTAATCCTAGACACAATATAATCATGATAAATAGGGTAACCCTTGACACACTATAATGATGATAAAATAGGATAAATATCCTAACAAAAAGAAATCTAGATGTTTGATGATGTTTTTTATCTTGGCCGAGAAATTATGAATATTTGGGGTTTGTGTTTGGAGCTAAAACAACAAATATAAGTTTGGGTACGTTTTTAACACTTGTTAAAATCTGATAAAGGAAAATAGGAATATGGTTTAAATTCTGTTTTGAATATTTAAGAACAGTGAATGAATTCTAGTATGCTTAATATTTGATGAACGTTGATTTTCTTTGTATGTAATTTGATATAGTATGGTTGGGATTTCTGGTCTGGAGCGTGTGGGTTTGCTGACATTAAATGTGATAATTATGTTTTGATAAAAGTGAGTAGAATAAGGTATTCTTTTCGGTGGGATATTAGATTGTAAGAAGTAATTGAGCTGGACAGTAAAGGTATGGTATGATAATTGTTGTGCATGTTGGTATTTGTTTGGAATCAAGACCTAAACTCAGAGGAGGGATAAAAAAATAAAAAAATTAAAGAAATTAAAGATATGTTATTCTGTGAGATTAATATATGAAATTGTAGTGAGTTACCTTCAATTATCGTGCAAATCGGAATTTGTTGAATTACTGAGTTTGGTATGTTACGAATGGTTACTTCAAAGAATATGCATGTGATCAAGTTAAACTAAATAATATGAACGAATGCTTGAACTCTGATAACTTGTTAAAGCTGAGAATGTAATAGTTCATGAGAGTGAGTTGGTTTTCAGCATAATAAGGGCTAAGAGCATTATAATGAACCTAATCTCTTGGAAATTGGAATGTTTCTATCTAAAAGAATGTTGTATTGAGTAAGCTGATATGCTTTACAATTTCCCAGAGGAGATTAATCAGGTGCACAACGAAAATATTTACCGAAACAGTGGGAGATTGAAGGTGACTGAACAGTTCAGGCTAAAGAAAAGCAAGCGATTGGAGGAAGGCTAGCTGTTCAAACACGGCAGGAGGTCAGTCTCTCGGTCCCGAAAATATTTACTCAGGTTATTTTATTCAGACATTTATTTGGTGTATCTAAAATTTGTAAGAGGATAAAAAAACTACAGAATTTTAAAAAGGTATTTTAAATAATTAAAATATTAGAATTTGAAATTTGTTAAGAAAATAAAGAATTTGAAAATCTCTTCTTTCTCTGGTGACAACCCTCGCTCACGCTCTCATACTAGCTCGCTCTCACACTAGCTCGCTCTCACTTCCCCCTCGCTCTCACTTCCCCCTCGCTCTCACTTCCCCCTCGCTCTCTCTCTATTACGCTGTCTAACCAAGTGCATACCAGGTTCGTTCCTCATCTCTGCAGTCTAGGTGTAGTTTTTGATACGTTATTTTGTCTTTAGGTGTTTATTTCGTTATCTGATTTCATTGATTTCATGGATCTAGGGTTTCATTTTGTCATTTCATTTTCGTTTCAAGTTGCAATTTCGATTTATTTCTTGTTAACACTGTGCTGCCATGGGAGGCAATACTGTATTCTTTTCTCTTTCTTAACTTTTTGCCCTTCATTCCTTCATTCGTTCTTCAGCCAGTCCCAACACAAACAGAGACAGAACCCACGCGATACAGAGAAGAACGCTTCTTCCCTCCCTCAGCGGCTTCTCCGGTGACACTCCTCGGAGGCGACTCCGGCGACTCTCCTCAGTGGCAAACACACCCACGGCGTTTGCAACACAGGTTCGTCTTTTCTTCGATTAATCTTCAATTTCATTAGCAAAAATCTTCAAATTAGCTTATGCCCTAGTTGATGGTTACTAAGGTTCATTCCACTGCAACAGTCCACAACGAAAGGGAGTATATGGGTCCAGCTATGTATATGGGTTTAGAAATATCATTTCTTTCGCCTCTAACTTGCCAATTTATATTGTAACTTAATTTTTACATTTTTTGTATTTGAAGTTATGTTGCGGGGTATATAATAAAGGGAAGCTTCAAGACATAGTCAAACATAGTTTAGGATAAAAGCAAAGCACCAATAATTGAATGTATTTTTTTCCTTTTGTCCGTTGGAAGAATTTGATCCATGTATGAGCTATAATATATGCTTTTAATAAGTTCTGCTACTAGCTACCATTAATGCGACTTGTTTGAGCATCTCTAAGTGTTTTTGTTCTCCGACTCATGATGAATAAAAACTTTGTTCAGTGTGCATGGCTATCATCCATCATGATAGCATATATTGGAAGAGAGAGAGTGCTGAATAGAAAATGGAAAAGTAATGAAAAAAATTATAGTGTGTGATTGTAAATAGAAAAAACAGTTTGTACACTAAAAGGATTATGTGTTGCCTTTATGAATGTTACAGATTCTAGATTGCATAACCTGTCGAGGACATATTATACTCATAGATTATATTGTCTGTAGTTGAAGCAAAGATGAGGATTATGATAAAGGGCGGTGTTTGGAAAAACACCGAAGATGAAATCCTGAAAGCGGCTGTTATGAAATATGGTAAGAATCAGTGGGCTCGAATCTCTTCGCTCCTTGTTCGCAAATCTGCCAAGCAATGCAAAGCTCGCTGGTACGAGTGGCTTGATCCCTCCATAAAGAAGGTACCTCTCATCTCAATTTCCTACTTCTTTTTGTATATTATATCCAAAGATTAGGAGAAGTTTAATTGAAGTTTATCCTTTTTTGTTACTCTGTAAAAAATGGGTAGTGGTTGTAATATTTTGCTTAGTGGTATTACTCTCACACTTTTAAGCTTTCTTATATGATGTGAAACCTACATCCTTCTAATTTTCCATTATTTTAGTTACAAGCTATTTTTAATTGATTTTTTCCATCTACAGCTTTTGTCTTCCACTTTTTAGCTTTTACTATCCGGCTTTTCGCTAATAAGGAGTGATTTTTGCAATTTGATGCTTTGTGTGTAGACTGAGTGGACTAGAGAAGAGGATGAGAAGTTACTTCATCTTGCTAAGCTCATGCCCACTCAGTGGAGAACAATTGCTCCAATTGTAGGTCGTACACCTTCTCAGTGTCTTGAGCGGTATGAGAAGCTCCTTGATGCAGCCTGTGTAAAAGATGAGAACTATGAGCCTGGTGATGATCCTCGAAAATTGCGTCCTGGGGAGATTGATCCAAACCCCGAGTCAAAACCTGCACGGCCTGATCCTGTTGATATGGATGAGGATGAAAAGGAGATGCTTTCTGAAGCACGAGCCCGATTAGCCAACACAAAGGGAAAGAAAGCAAAAAGGAAAGCTAGGGAGAAACAGCTTGAGGAAGCAAGGAGGCTTGCTTCCCTACAAAAGAAGAGGGAATTGAAGGCGGCTGGAATTGATATCCGGCAGCGAAAGAGAAAAAGGAAAGGAATAGACTACAATGCTGAAATTCCATTTGAGAAAAGGCCTCCTCCAGGATTTTTCTATGTTGCAGATGAAGATAGACCAGTGGAACAGCCCAAGTTCCCTACTACTATTGAAGAACTTGAGGGGAAAAGGAGGGTTGATATTGAGGCACAATTAAGAAAGCATGACATTGCTAAAAATAAAATTGCACAAAGGCAAGATGCCCCATCTGCCATATTGCATGCCAACAAATTGAATGATCCAGATACAGTAAGAAAGAGGTTAAAATTGATGCTTCCACCACCCCAGATATCTGATCAAGAATTGGATGAAATTGCTAAGTTGGGTTATGCTAGTGACCTTGCAGGGAGTCAGGAACTTACTGAAGGTAGTGGTGCTACACGTGCTCTTCTGGCTAATTATGCACAGACACCCGGTCAAGGAGTGACTCCTTTGCGAACCCCTCAGAGAACACCATCTGGTAAAGGAGATGCTATTATGATGGAAGCTGAAAATCTTGCCAGGTTGAGGGAGTCTCAAACACCATTGTTGGGAGGAGAGAATCCGGAGTTGCATCCTTCAGATTTTTCTGGTGTCACTCCTAAGAAAAAAGACATTCAGACTCCAAATCCAATGCTGACCCCATCTGCAACTCCTGGAGGTGCAGGTCTCACTCCAAGAATTGGTATGACACCAACAAGAGATGGTTTTTCTTTTAGCATGACACCAAAGGGGACTCCTTTGAGGGATGAACTACGTATTAATGAGGACATGAATATGCATGAAAGCACTAAACGTGAGCTGCAGAGACAGGCTGATATGAGAAGAAGTCTGCGTTCTGGTTTAGGAAGCCTTCCTCAGCCCAAGAATGAGTACCAAATAGTGATGGAACCAGTCACAGAAGATTCCGAAGAGCCTGAGGAGAAGATTGAAGAGGATATGTCTGACAGGATAGCTAGAGAAAAAGCAGAAGAAGAGGCAAGACAGTAGGCATTACTTAGAAAACGATCAAAGGTCCTTCAACGGGAACTTCCTAGGCCCCCTGCTGCTTCATTGGAGCTTATAAGAAATTCCTTAATTAGATCTGATGGGGACAAGAGTTCCTTTGTTCCACCAACCTCTATTGAGCAGGCTGATGAGATGATTAGAAAGGAGCTTCTAACTTTACTGGAGCATGACAATGCTAAGTATCCGCTTGATGATAAAGTGAATAAGGAGAAAAAGAAAGGAGTCAAGCGATCTGCAGATTTGTCTGCGGTCCCTGTGATAGAAGATTTTGAGGAAGATGAAATGAAAGATGTATGTCCTGACTTGTTTCTTTTTCCTTTCCCTTTTTGATGACATCTCATTTTCTTCTGTTGATTGGAAGTAACTTGCTCAACTTACACTCTTTATTACGCACAAGATTTGACTTCTGTGTTGAAAATTACCTCTTTTTTTATTAAGATTCAGTTACTATAATGACTTTATATTTTTATTACTCAATTTTTTAATTATGTTTCCCCTTCCATCATAAACCTCTCAAAATATTTCACTGACTAATGAAATAGAAATAATTTAGATCTGTCAATGTTCCATCACTTTTTTAATTTTCCATTTTGATCAATTCATATGTCTTAATTCTTCTTATTATGATAGTTATTACTGAGTTGATAATTATTTAGAGGAAGGTATAGTAATTGAAAACATAATACTATGAAATCCCAGTGAATATTTTGAAACAAACAATTCCACACGATTGTTGTATATATCATATTCACAAAACTGTGTAAATGTATTCTTTTTTTATTCTTTAATGTCATTGTATAAGAAAAGAGCTTGTGAATTGGATCTTAAATGTTCACATTTTTGTTACAATCCTTCCTTTAATTAAGTTGGATTTAGTGCGTTTTTATCTGAATTTTTGTTCATTTTTTCAGATATTGTCAGATCAGATTCATTGAGTCATATGTAATTGTCCAAGTTCTGCCCTTGCATTTTACCACAATTGGCACTGCAATAAAATTTATCATGTAATGCATATTGTGTTTTATTTTGATAAAGCATTGGCTATGTCTAATGAGCTGTTAATTTTCCTGCTCCTATATAATTATGATTATGATATCATTGGATAAAGTATTTATTTGTCTTTCTGTTTATTTATGGTAGGCTGATAAGTTGATAAAGGAAGAAGTCCAATATCTTTGTGCCGCAATGGGACATGAAAATGAGCCCCTTGAAGAATTTATTGAAGCACATCGAACCTGCCTCAATGATCTTATGTACTTTCCTACCCGTAATGCATATGGTCTCTCCAGTGTTGCTGGGAACATGGAAAAACTAGCTGCTTTGCAAAATGAATTTGAGAATGTGAGAAAGAAATTGGATGATGATAAGGAGAAGATGGTACGGCTTGAGAAGAAGGTGACTGTTATCACACAAGGCTACGAGGTATGTGATGCTACATTTCTGTTTCTTGCTGAGCTGCTACATTAAAACATGCAGTCTCGTGTTTTGCTTTCAAAGCTTGTATTAATTGTATCACTAATTTTTTAGAATCTTATTGGTTTTATTACCTCTGGAAAGTTAGTTTTTAAATTTCTCATTTGTGTTTTGCCCATAAATAAGCCAAACTGAAAAGTGTTTCATAACGATAGTGGGAAATCAACTCGTTAGTGGAATACTCCTACGTTTCACAATGGCGGGAATTGAGAGAGAACACGAAGAAAGCAGGATTCTGTGCTTTGGATTTTGCTATTGGACAAAATAAATGTTTTTTTATATGTAATTTTAGATACACGTTACCCGAGTGTTTGCATATTCAATCTTGTATATATTTTAATTTGGCTATTGCATTTTCAGATGAGAGCAAAGAAAAGTATCTGGCAGCAAATTGAGGCCACTTTCAAGCAGATGGATATAGCTGCAACCGAGTTAGAATGCTTTAAAGCTTTGCAAAATCAGGAGCAGTTAGCAGCATCCCACAGGATAAACAATTTGTGGAGTGAAGTACAGAAGCAAAAGGAACTTGAAAAAACTTTGCAAAACAGGTACGGGAGTCTAATTGAAGAGCTGGAGAAGATGCAAAATATCATGAACCAATCCAGATTAAAGGCAGAGCAGCAAAAAGAAATTGAAGCAAACAATGCTCATGCTGAGACCAAAGTCAATGAAACTGATGTGCAGGATACCGGGAGTATTGTACCTCACTCAGCAGAGGATGGAAATGCTCAAGCAATAACAGTCGAGTCATCACATGATGGAACTTCTGACCAGCAAGTTGAGATTATGCAAGACAAGTCGACTTCTAGCCCCAGCCATGACATGAATGTGGATTCTGATAACATGCATACAATACATGACAGTGATGGTAAATTAGCAAATGCTTCACCAGCTGATGAGAATGTTGTTGAAGAAGTGGAAGGTAGTAGCCCTACTGGTGGTTATACTGACAATGGGGAGAACGTGTCAGAAATGGGTGCTTCAATGGAAATAAATAGCCCCAATCAAGATGTAGTTGCGAATGCTGTAACCACAGGTGAGAGCAGCATGGAAGAAACCAATGCTGTTACGGAGGAGACAAAATAGGCTGGACACTTTGTAGCTGTTCTGAAAGTTTAAAGGGAGAGATATTAGGATGGGTAGTTTCTCAGTTCAGATTTCAGTGGATGTTTAACTGAATAGATTGCATGGAGAGTGAGTCTTGCTGCTTTTTTTTGAAGGCATATGAAGATATCCATTCCTAGTTGAAGTTTGGAACATGTTATGATTCTGACATTAAGCTATGAGCATTGAGATATTTGCTCTCCCTTTTTTTTTGTTCTTTCAATAGTCGTCCCCTTTTTAGTGGATGTCGGCACTTTTATAAGAATGTTAAAGGATTTTATTTCAATGAATTAGACCTTAGAGCTAGTTACTATTGGAAGCTGTGTACTGTTAAATTATTCATATTCATGGGTATCTGTAGGCAATAATAATCATATATAATGTTTAAAATGTGAATTGAAATGTATATGGTATAAGCACTAAAATGATATTAGGAACCTATAGATCCTACATGCTCTTTTCCTTTCTGCCTATCAAAGGTAAATTTATCAGTTCCACTAGCCCTTTCCTTTCCCTGTATTTCCTCCCCTTTTTACTAACAACATTGATATCCTTTACCAAACACCATTTTCCATTGATACAACGTCTTCTTGATAGTACAATTCCTCCCAGATTGTTTTTTTCTTTGAATATAACATGAGTAGTATAGATTTACAGTTACCATAGTGTTTGCAACCTTTCCATGTAGCCATTATTTCTACAGTGATGTGCAACCAAACACCACTATTTCTTCCAAGCATGTAACATATATTCCTTTCCACACCTTCTAATCTAGTTTCTTATATGCAAAAAATCAATATTCTCACCTCCCTCCTCTTGGTTCTCCTTTCTAACCCTATAATATTATAGTCTAGAGGTTAAAAGTAGTAAATTTTCAATTTTAAAAGATTAGAAAATTGCAAAACTAAAACAAAGCTAATTTATTTTATATATGATTCTGAAGATGATTGTCACATTAAACACAACATATGTGATAAAAATATGGACATAGGCTTACATAATAATATAGTCCGTGTATTTGTTGTTTTTATTTAGTTAGTTTTTTTTTAATTAAGTTCTATTTTATGTTAAATTGATTTAATTGGGTCCTTTGCATGATATTTATATAAAAGACGTTAACAAAATCATTTCAAATGTCATTGTAGTTTTTTTTTAATCTTTTTTGTACTTTTTTTTAACAATAAGATTTTTTTCTTCATTCTTGAATTCTATTAGAGATGATTCTTTCATAGATATTTTGCTAATCCCTCTATATAAGGAATTTCTAAGGAATGTATGACAGAATAATCAATAACTAATTAACATTCTTGTAGGGACATGTAAAGAACTTTAATTTATAAATTTAACTAAATTATATTTAATTTTGTAATTATTTATAGTTAACTACACAAAAAATATTTAGCAATACATGTTAAACAATATTTTATATTAGATTATATAATAAAAGTTTAATATACACACTGTAAGACCCTAGATAATTAACACTGCAAAACATCTGTCAAATCAGATTTAATGCATTTAAACCACTCTGCCGTGCATTGAAAACGCACCCACGTCACTGCTTAGACCATTAAAATCCACTCACTAATCTAATACACCACTGCCAAGTGTCACAAATGGAAGATTCTGAAATTTGTAGTGGAAGACAGNGACACCAAAGGGGACTCCTTTGAGGGATGAACTACGTATTAATGAGGACATGAATATGCATGAAAGCACTAAACGTGAGCTGCAGAGACAGGCTGATATGAGAAGAAGTCTGCGTTCTGGTTTAGGAAGCCTTCCTCAGCCCAAGAATGAGTACCAAATAGTGATGGAACCAGTCACAGAAGATGCCGAAGAGCCTGAGGAGAAGATTGAAGAGGATATGTCTGACAGGATAGCTAGAGAAAAAGCAGAAGAAGAGGCAAGACAGGAGGCATTACTTAGAAAACGATCAAAGGTCCTTCAACGGGAACTTCCTAGGCCCCCTGCTGCTTCATTGGAGCTTATAAGAAATTCCTTAATTAGATCTGATGGGGACAAGAGTTCCTTTGTTCCACCAACCTCTATTGAGCAGGCTGATGAGATGATTAGAAAGGAGCTTCTAACTTTACTGGAGCATGACAATGCTAAGTATCCGCTTGATGATAAAGTGAATAAGGAGAAAAAGAAAGGAGTCAAGCGATCTGCAGATTTGTCTGCGGTCCCTGTGATAGAAGATTTTGAGGAAGATGAAATGAAAGATGTATGTCCTGACTTGTTTCTTTTTCCTTTCCCTTTTTGATGACATCTCATTTTCTTCTGTTGATAGGAAGTAACTTGCTCAACTTACACTCTTTATTACGCACAAGATTTGACTTCTGTGTTGAAAATTACCTCTTTTTTTATTAAGATTCAGTCACTATAATGACTTTATATTTTTATTACTCAATTTTTTAATTATGTTTCCCCTTCCATCATAAACCTCTCAAAATATTACACTGACTAATGAAATAGAAATAATTTAGATCTGTCAATGTTCCATCACTTTTTTAATTTTCCATTTTGATCAATTCATATGTCTTAATTCTTCTTATTATGATAGTTATTACTGAGTTGATAATTATTTAGAGGAAGGTATAGTAATTGAAAACATAATACTATGAAATCCCAGTGAATATTTTGAAACAAACAATTCCACACGATTGTTGTATATATCATATTCACAAAACTGTGTAAATGTATTCTTTTTTTATTCTTTAATGTCATTGTATAAGAAAAGAGCTTGTGAATTGGATCTTAAATGTTCACATTTTTGTTACAATCCTTCCTTTAATTAAGTTGGATTTAGTGCGTTTTTATCTGAATTTTTGTTCATCTTTTCAGATATTGTCAGATCAGATTCATTGAGTCATATGTAATTGTCCAAGTTCTGCCCTTGCATTTTACCACAATTGGCACTGCAATTAATTTATTATGTAATGCATATTGTGTTTTATTTTGATAAAGCATTGGCTATGTCTAATGAGCTGTGAATTTTCCTGCTCCTATATAATTATGATTATGATATCATTGGAGAAAGTATTTATTTGTCTTTCTGTTTATTTATGGTAGGCTGATAAGTTGATAAAGGAAGAAGTCCAATATCTTTGTGCCGCAATGGGACATGAAAATGAGCCCCTTGAAGAATTTATTGAAGCACATCGAACCTGCCTCAATGATCTTATGTACTTTCCTACCCGTAATGCATATGGTCTCTCCAGTGTTGCTGGGAACATGGAAAAACTAGCTGCTTTGCAAAATGAATTTGAGAATGTGAGAAAGAAATTGGATGATGATAAGGAGAAGATGGTACGGCTTGAGAAGAAGGTGACTGTTATCACACAAGGCTACGAGGTATGTGATGCTACATTTCTGTTTCTTGCTGAGCTGCTACATTAAAACATGCAGTCTCGTGTTTTGCTTTCAAAGCTTGTATTAATTGTATCACTAATTTTTTAGAATCTTATTGGTTTTATTACCTCTGGAAAGTTAGTTTTTAAATTTCTCATTTGTGTTTTGCCCATAAATAAGCCAAACTGAAAAGTGTTTCATAACGATAGTGGGAAATCAACTCGTTAGTGGAATACTCCTACGTTTCACAATGGCGGGAATTGAGAGAGAACACGAAGAAAGCAGGATTCTGTGCTTTGGATTTTGCTATTGGACAAAATAAATGTTTTTTTATATGTAATTTTAGATACACGTTACCCGAGTGTTTGCATATTCAATCTTGTATATATTTTAATTTGGCTATTGCATTTTCAGATGAGAGCAAAGAAAAGTATCTGGCAGCAAATTGAGGCCACTTTCAAGCAGATGGATATAGCTGCAACCGAGTTAGAATGCTTTAAAGCTTTGCAAAATCAGGAGCAGTTAGCAGCATCCCACAGGATAAACAATTTGTGGAGTGAAGTACAGAAGCAAAAGGAACTTGAAAAAACTTTGCAAAACAGGTACGGGAGTCTAATTGAAGAGCTGGAGAAGATGCAAAATATCATGAACCAATCCAGATTAAAGGCAGAGCAGCAAAAAGAAATTGAAGCAAACAATGCTCATGCTGAGACCAAAGTCAATGAAACTGATGTGCAGGATACCGGGAGTATTGTACCTCACTCAGCAGAGGATGGAAATGCTCAAGCAATAACAGTCGAGTCATCACATGATGGAACTTCTGACCAGCAAGTTGAGATTATGCAAGACAAGTCGACTTCTAGCCCCAGCCATGACATGAATGTGGATTCTGATAACATGCATACAATACATGACAGTGATGGTAAATTAGCAAATGCTTCACCAGCTGATGAGAATGTTGTTGAAGAAGTGGAAGGTAGTAGCCCTACTGGTGGTTATACTGACAATGGGGAGAACGTGTCAGAAATGGGTGCTTCAATGGAAATAAATAGCCCCAATCAAGATGTAGTTGCGAATGCTGTAACCACAGGTGAGAGCAGCATGGAAGAAACCAATGCTGTTACGGAGGAGACAAAATAGGCTGGACACTTTGTAGCTGTTCTGAAAGTTTAAAGGGAGAGATATTAGGATGGGTAGTTTCTCAGTTCAGATTTCAGTGGATGTTTAACTGAATAGATTGCATGGAGAGTGAGTCTTGCTGCTTTTTTTTGAAGGCATATGAAGATATCCATTCCTAGTTGAAGTTTGGAACATGTTATGATTCTGACATTAAGCTATGAGCATTGAGATATTTGCTCTCCCTTTTTTTTTGTTCTTTCAATAGTCGTCCCCTTTTTAGTGGATGTCGGCACTTTTATAAGAATGTTAAAGGATTTTATTTCAATGAATTAGACCTTAGAGCTAGTTACTATTGGAAGCTGTGTACTGTTAAATTATTCATATTCATGGGTATCTGTAGGCAATAATAATCATATATAATGTTTAAAATGTGAATTGAAATGTATATGGTATAAGCACTAAAATGATATTAGGAACCTATAGATCCTACATGCTCTTTTCCTTTCTGCCTATCAAAGGTAAATTTATCAGTTCCACTAGCCCTTTCCTTTCCCTGTATTTCCTCCCCTTTTTACTAACAACATTGATATCCTTTACCAAACACCATTTTCCATTGATACAACGTCTTCTTGATAGTACAATTCCTCCCAGATTGTTTTTTTCTTTGAATATAACATGAGTAGTATAGATTTACAGTTACCATAGTGTTTGCAACCTTTCCATGTAGCCATTATTTCTACAGTGATGTGCAACCAAACACCACTATTTCTTCCAAGCATGTAACATATATTCCTTTCCACACCTTCTAATCTAGTTTCTTATATGCAAAAAATCAATATTCTCACCTCCCTCCTCTTGGTTCTCCTTTCTAACCCTATAATATTATAGTCTAGAGGTTAAAAGTAGTAAATTTTCAATTTTAAAAGATTAGAAAATTGCAAAACTAAAACAAAGCTAATTTATTTTATATATGATTCTGAAGATGATTGTCACATTAAACACAACATATGTGATAAAAATATGGACATAGGCTTACATAATAATATAGTCCGTGTATTTGTTGTTTTTATTTAGTTAGTTTTTTTTTAATTAAGTTCTATTTTATGTTAAATTGATTTAATTGGGTCCTTTGCATGATATTTATATAAAAGACGTTAACAAAATCATTTCAAATGTCATTGTAGTTTTTTTTTAATCTTTTTTGTACTTTTTTTTAACAATAAGATTTTTTTCTTCATTCTTGAATTCTATTAGAGATGATTCTTTCATAGATATTTTGCTAATCCCTCTATATAAGGAATTTCTAAGGAATGTATGACAGAATAATCAATAACTAATTAACATTCTTGTAGGGACATGTAAAGAACTTTAATTTATAAATTTAACTAAATTATATTTAATTTTGTAATTATTTATAGTTAACTACACAAAAAATATTTAGCAATACATGTTAAACAATATTTTATATTAGATTATATAATAAAAGTTTAATATACACACTGTAAGACCCTAGATAATTAACACTGCAAAACATCTGTCAAATCAGATTTAATGCATTTAAACCACTCTGCCGTGCATTGAAAACGCACCCACGTCACTGCTTAGACCATTAAAATCCACTCACTAATCTAATACACCACTGCCAAGTGTCACAAATGGAAGATTCTGAAATTTGTAGTGGAAGACAGGTGTCCGTGTATAAGAGAACGTCCGTTTGACTTGGGAAGAAAACCAATTTTCTGAAAAACCTTCTTCCCACTCTCTGCATGCACGAGCGCCACCTGTCACGTTAGAAGTATCTGAAGTCAGTAGTGGGGGTGCAGGTGTCAGCAGAGGAGACGTTCGTCCGTGTAGACGTGGATTGAACAAAACTGAGTTTTGAAAAAACTCTTCCACTTACCTGCACGCACCTTTCTTCTTCCTCAAACTCAGACTCCATTTTTCTCCACCTTCTCTCTAGAACCTTTTCATCTTCTCTCTACTGAAACTCACCACCTCTTTCTCCGATCACGTTTCAGAGACCGTAGGGACGTTCGCGGAACCGTGAGCTATAAGTTGAACCGAACAGTTTCAAAAGCTGAAACTGGTAAGTTCTCCTTCAGTAGTTCGTTCTTAGGTTTCCTGAAAATTTCGTTTTGGCTGCATGCAAGTGTGTAGTCTAAGTATTTTGATTTTCTTGTGACTAGATTCGTTTTGGAAGAATTAAGTGATATTGAAGGTAGAAAAACGTTAGTTGGACGAAGCCAAAAATCTTGCGTCTAGGACAAGTTGTTTGCGAATCCGGGTAAGGGAAGCTTATTGATTTAATTCGTATTTTGTTGTATGATTGCTGAAAACGAATGCCTGTTGATGAATGAATGAATGTATGTATACAATATGTGTATGAATGCATGATGGATGATGGTTGAGATGTATGAAAATGAACATGGATATTTATGGTGTATGAAATAAATCTGTATGTTGATGTTGAATATGAATTATTAGAATGAATGTTATAAAGTTTTTAAATTTATATTTATATGAAGTATAAAGTATGAACTGAAATGTTGAAATCTGGGATCTGTAATAGATGAAAAATCTGCATGTAAACTACTTCCTATGATAAAATACGTTCGTTATCGTACGGTCTTATACCGTTCGGTTTCCTAGTAAATGACTTAAAAATGGAATTCTTTCATTCGGAAAGAATTCGGTTCGAGAACGAGCATCCTCATTTGAATTACTATGTTTGAGCGTTCGTCTCAGCATAGAGATGTCGTATACCTTAAATTAAATAATATTAAATTACACCTTTATACTTTAAAATAGGTAACGCTCGGTCTTATACCAAGCGTTAGTCTTAAATAGCGCTCAGTCTTATACCAAGCGTTCGTCCTAAATAGCGCTCGGTCTTATACCAAGCGTTCGTCCTAAGTAGCGCTCGGTCTTATACCAAGCGTTCGTCCTAAATAGCGCTCGGTCTTATACCAAGCGTTCGTCCTAAGTAGCGCTCGGTCTTATACCAAGCGTTCGTCCTACATAGCGCTCGGTCTTATACCAAGCGTTCGTCCTAAATAGCGCTCGGTCTTATACCAAGCGTTCGTCCTAAATAGCGCTCGGTCTTATACCAAGCGTTCGTCCTAAATAGCGCTCGGTCTTATACCAAGCGTTCGTCCTAAATAGCGCTCGGTCATCTACCTAGCGTTCGTCATAAGTGGTGCTCGGTCTTATACCAAGCGCCCGTATTATTGGATACCCACCTTGATAAATAGCGTTCGTTCAAAGGAATATAATCTTCATCTTTCCTTACATTCGTTCAATTACTGGCATCGGTCTTCCATATGCGAATTACTACAAAGATAGTTCCAAATATTCTTGACTCTCCTTCTTACATTAGGTCTGGTCTAAGGTCTTTATAATGAAAATTTTTCTAAGTACCAGTATACCTCCAAACGAGCCAGTTCATTTAACTAACCAAACAGATAGTAACGTTCGTTATATATTTTCCCGTTCATTCAGTACCTTTCTCTGGACGTTCGTCCTAGTTCTTCAGAGGACTGAACGTTTGTCATTTTATGCTTTTAAATCTAAAGATGAGAATGATGATAAATTATAAGAACTTAAAGTATGAACACTATATGGAACGATTATACGATATTGGATTTTGGACGAGCGTTCCAGGGAGGAACGACTCATATATGTTGATTATGGAATTTAGTAAAGTATGACTGTGGTTATGCTAATGCTGGCTTGGTCCATCCTGATATTCCGTGATACTCGTCCTCATGTAGAGGGGAGTAGTTCATGTGTGGGAATGGCAGGAGGTTCTATTCCTTAGGGGTACTTTGGATAGAGCTAACCTCGAGTGGCAGCTGTTGAGTGTATCCCAATTACTACATCACTCGGGTGCAAGGACGCCTGTAGCTACACAGATTCATACAGTCCGGACGGTCTGTCTAGTATATATATATATATATATTTCTATGTTGTTATATACTAAGTTACTTGTTGTGTGAATTGAAATGTTAAGTGTATATGTTGATGTATGAATTAAATTATATAAGCTTACCCTTTCGTTTTCCTTGTGTTGTCTATCGTCTATGTACGTTCGTCCTGTCTTG